CGCGCGCTGGAACGAGCGCCGCGGACGGATCATTCGGTGCGCATTGGCAGATGCCTCAGGTGCCGCGCGCCCCACTTTCGCCGGCCCCCCCGTCGCTCTCCGCCGGCCATCGCCGACGGGTCGCGCGCGGCCGACGCAGCTCAGAACCCGCGGGGCACCGCGCCCCAGCACAGACTCGCGCAACTAGCGCGCGACCTCCGCGCTTCCCCTGGAGATCTGCGCGCGCCCGCGCGGCCGCCCTGCGCCGCTTCCGACGGGGCCCCGCCCCCCCGCCGTCCGGCGTTGCATCGCGCGTGGCCAGTGTCAAATCAGATTGGAAGATCCGCGCCGCTCGCGCGCGCTCGCCCCGGCCCTGCTCGCCGCAGAGGCCGCAGGTTGGCCCCGCGCGGCCGCAGTCGCAGGGCCCGCCCCCGCCCGCCGTAGTCTCGCCCGCCAAGGCGGGCCTCGACAGACGACCCCCACCCATGCGTCGGAGCAGCTAGGAAGGCCGCGCCGAACACCATCGTGCGACGCGGCGGGAGGCGCAAATAAAGCTGCGCAAGTAATGCCTCCTGTTTCCTCCGCGTCGCATGCCAACCGACAGTCTCGAGCCAGTTCTCGCCCCTGTCCGACGCGACAATGGCCGCGCCGCGGACGCACGCGCATCTCGCTGCCCTGGGGTGCGCGGCCACCGCTGCCGCCCAAGTTGACAACGGCGCCAACTCCAATTCTCGGCGCGCCCACCTGGCAACTTCGGCAACATAATCAGCCGCGCGCAGGGGGGGGCCCTCAACTGCCTCGCGAGATTATGATCGCGATCGCCTCCCTCGCCGACTCAGATCCATCGGAACGGCGCGTTGGTCCACCCCGGCCGCCGCGACGACCCGAACGTCTGCGCCGTTGAACCAAGCGCAGACCGTGGCCGCCGCGGCACCTGGGGCGTCTCCGCTGCGGATCCGAGCGCGCCCTGCCCGAACGCTGACCGGACGCAGCGTTTTGTTCATCTCGCCGCGCGCCGAGCCCGGCGCTTGCGAGCAGCGCCACGCACGTCGCACTTCCATGTCCACGCAGCGGCGCCCGCGGATGTGGATCGGGACCAGCGCTGGATAGGCCGGCGACTAGCTGTCTCGCGGCAGCGCAGCCCTGGGGCGCCGGTCCAGCAGGTGAGCGAACTCGCAGGCCACAACTGCAGCACAAACCCGGGCGGCCGCACATTGCAGGTGAGAGCTAACGACCCACCGCTCTAGATCTTGTGCATGACGCAACCACGGCGCGCGTTCCGCTCGCGATGCACTCCCACTCTCCCCCTAGCCTCCTCTTCCGCCTCGCTTACTGCGAATGCGCCGGCCTCGGATTAGTCTACCATACCTAAGCATGGTGGCGCCCTTTCGGCAGCTCGTTGTCTTCGCGGTGATTCGGCTTTCCCGCTTCCACGCCATAGTGAGGCTGCGCGCGTGCAAGAAACGGACGTCCGACGCCCCCCTTATTATATATGTGTAGATATAAAAAATTCACGCTGCATCACCTTCATCCCGCGAGCGCTTCCAGAACGTTGGGTTATCATCTTCGCCTGTCTCACGCGCTCCCATTCTGCAAAATCGCACTAACAAGCTCAACGCACCGGCCCTGCCTGTTGGCTGGGCGCTCGAGTCGTCTAGCACTGCCGACTTCTATGTTGCATCATGTGCTTTCCAGCTGCCAACCATCCTGTTTAGCAGGCCGCTGCCTAAAATTATGCGCATGTAGCCTCCCTTCGAATTTCAGGCCTCCAGCCACCCTCCCTGGGGCACGCCCTTGAAATGCAAAAATTCGAACAAGTTAGAAGTCGTTCGACTGTGCTTTCCGCTTGGCAGTCTGCCTGGCAGATGCCCTTGTATGACGGAACTGCCCACCTGACTAAAAGATGCCCTTGCCGTTCGGAACTCGTCGCTTGTAGGTTTATTTCGCGTTTCCGGCCGCCCAGTATCTTGCCAGTCAGATGCCCCTGTAGCACAACAGCTTCCACTTACAAGTATTCGCGTGCGTGTGCGTTTTTGGCCGCCAGGGCTTCCTGCCTTGCAAATGCCCTTGAACCACACAACTTCCCACCTGTAAGCCACCGCTTGCCTCTGCTCCAACTGCAGACGGTCTCCTCCGTGGCGGCGCGCGTAGCTGTCGCAGAATACTCTTTGCTCGTAGGCCTCCGCCCGCGTTTCCGCCCGCCCCCTGCATCTCTGCAACACGCCGCCATGTAATTATCCGGACGCACGCTGGGCACCAGCCCGTGTCTGAACCAACTATTGGCTTGTCGATTTGCCTCTCTGCTTCATGGGGAGTAGCAAAATTCTGGCCGACGCGCGCGACGAGGAGGAGGAGGGGGACGAGGCGGAGAAGAGGAGGGGGATATAGGATGGAGGAGGAGGCCGTGGTGGAATATGAACAGGAACAGGAGGAGGAGGAGGAGGAGGAGGAGGAGGAGGAGGAGGAGGAGGAGGAGGAGGAGGAGGAGGAGGAGGAGGAGGAGGAGGAGGAGCGGCACCGCTGGTTCTGGCCCGCCACGCCTCGGCGCGACACGCTATCAATTTCCGGGGTTCCGAACGTCAACGTCCCGAGCATTCCCGGGCCTTCCGCCCCGCGGAGCGCAGCGACACGCTTTCCGTTTGCCAGGCATGGCGTGTCGTCGGGGCCTCCGCCGCGACGCGCTATCCAAAAGTTATTTAGCGTAGCCCCCGTCAGAACGCCCAGCTCCTTGACGGCGCCACCCTTGAAAACGCGATGGCCGCAACTGCGCACAGCGACTTACACAATATCGAATCAGACAACATTGCATTGCATAAACATACCTTTTGAGAACTCCGCGCAGATTTCTCGGAACGGCGCTGGGCCTCACTTCCTGGCGGGCCTTGCCGTCCTGCCGCGGTGAACATTCACGCACATGCCACTAGACCTCGCCGCGCAAACCTTGCCGTGTTGCCGCGGTGGGCATCCACGAAGTTGCCACCAAAACGGCTCGTCGCGCAACCTTCCAGCCCTGCCGCGGTGAGCACCCACGCAGGTCCCACCAGACCGGCCCCCCGCGGAAACCTTGCCGCCCTGCCTCGGAAAGCATCCACAAAAGGCAACAAAACCGGCACGTCGCGCAAACCTTGCCGTCTTGCCGCGTTGAGCACCAACGAAAATGCCACCAGACGGGCTCGCCGCGCAAACCATGCCACCCTGCTACGGTGCGCATTCGCCAGGGTGCCACCACACCGGCTCTACGCGCAAACCTTGCCATCCTGCCGAGGTGACCATCCACGGAGGACGTAGGTCCTGACAGGCCAGCTCTACGCGCGCAAACATTGCCATCCTGCCGCGGTGAGCATCCACGCAGGTGCCACCAAACCGGCTCGCCGCGCAGACATTGCCACCCTGCCGCGGTGAGCTGTCATGCAGATGCCACCAGACCGGCCCGCCGCACAAATCTTGCCGTCTTGCCGCTGCGGGCATCCACTAGAGTGCCACCAGATCAGCCACGACACTAGTTCACACAACCTCGTTCTCATTCCTTTCCTCCCGTATGGGCGCTGCTTTGAGGTCCTGCTCGAAGTTCCCGAGGATGGGCATGACATCTCATGCGATGCGCGAAGATAGTTCACGCCACGCAGATCCCGCCATGTAGAAACTGCAGCATCGATTGCAGCAGGTCGCTTGCACAACATTGCTCGCACCACATAGTTTGCCCCAAGATTTTAGGGCCCATGCCTTAACACCCTGACAGGAAAAAGCAGCGGCAGAGGACTAGGAAAAGGTGGGAAATCATCAGGAAGATGCGCAGGAATAGTAACAACGACAAGCACGAGTTGGCGATGTGTGTGTATATATAAATATATATGTGTGTATAAGTATGTGTGCGTGTGTCATCACATCCCTCACGCTCGTTGTTTCCCTTCCTTTTTGTTTGTTTGTTTGTTTTGTGTCCTCTCTCTCTCTCTCGCTCTCGCTGCATCTCCGACCTCCCCCTCCCCGAGAGCGCGCTGGGGAAGGGAGACAAAGGAGAGGCTGGACAGGAAGGATAATGTAGCCACGGAGGAAGGGAGGAAGGAGATGGAGGGAGGAGAGAGGCAGGATAAGGACTTGGAGGAGGAGGAGGAAAGAGAAGGAGGACCAGGAGGAAGAGTAGGAGGAGGAGTAGGAGGAGAAGGAGGCGCAAGCCGAAGCGCCCCCAGCAACCGCGGGTGCGGGAGCTGGGGATCCATCGGGGAGGCGCATGGTTCCTGACGAACCTCTCGCCAGCGGCTAGCGCATCGGCGCATGCTGAACATGGAGGGCCCCGCCTGCCTGCACGCCAGAAGAGCATGCAGGCAGAGGCTCACACGAGGTGCCAACAGGCGGGGAAGGGCCACGCAAGGAACCACCCACGGCGCACCTGGGGCATGCAAGCAGCGGCCCAACCACGAGGCCGCAGTGGGGCCCAAGAGGGCCGGGCAAGACTCACGACTTTGCGCATCACCGTGAGGGCCTCCATCAGCTCATCCAGCGCAAGGCAAGCGAAGACGGACTCGTGGTCAGGGCGGAGCGACAGCGCGATGACCTGTGCGAGCACCGCCACGCGCTCGTCCACCGCTGGGGCCGCCACCGGCGCGGCCTTCGCAGACGGCAGGGCGAGGCCCGAACCCTCAGCTCCAGCCACCGCAGGTGCCGGTGCAGCACGCTCGGGAGCGCGACGACGCCCACGCCGAGACAGCTTGGCCGCGTCAGCCCACAGGTCACAGTCGAGGCCCACGGCGTTGTCGGTGGCCGCGGGCTCGGGGCCGTCCTGCGCCATGGGCGCGACCGCCGCGACCTCCACCACCTCCTCGGCAGCAGCCGCCCCACGTTCCAGCGCCCGCCGCCATGCCAGCCTCTGGCGGCGGGATGCTCGATGCGCGAGGAAGAAGAAAAAAAAGGAGTGGTTAAGACCAGAAGAGGAAGAGGAGGCAGAGAAGGAGGGGGAAGAGAGGAGGAGAAGACGTAGGACACGAGCGAGGCAATCAATGCCCTCCGACCCCTGAGGACGACGCCTTCGTCGAGGTGATGCGGGGCCGCATGGTCGTGAAGGTGCCGGCCCCAGCGGGGGCGACGGCCGACACAGGCGGCGGGCAGCCGCGGTCCGCCTTCCCGGGGGGAGGAAGACGGAGGAGGGAGGGGGCGGAGGAGGGGCGGAGGAAGGAGGAAAGGGAGGAGGGAGGGAAAGAAGGAGGATGGGGGAGGGCGGAGGACTCCTCCCACGTCTCCTCCTCCTCCTCATCATCATCGTCATCATCCTATTTTTGGTTTTCCTCCTCTTCCTCCTCCTCCTCCCTCATTTCATTCATGTGCAACGAGAGATCTAGCAAACCGAGCTCGACAACCCTCACGAGGACGCTGGGCGGGATACCCTCCAGTGGGGTCACCACCTTTGGTGCACTGCGCACCCTGCCCTGACAAGCGCATCGCATTCGGCCACCCAAAACGCGGCGGCAGAAGCAGAAACTCGCAGCGAGGGCCACCGAACGGAGCCAGGACAGACCAAGCGCGGGCAGCTTGGGTCCCGACGATGCCAGGGCAGGCAGCTCCCGCCAGAGGCGTGTGGCTGCGCCCTGGGGTGGCGCTCGGGGTCTTTTTCACCCTCTGCCACTTCCGCCACCCAGGAGCCAGCCACAAGCACACGACAGGCACGAGCAGGCACGCCTACATGGAGGCCTGCCTCTGAACTTCCATCTGGCCTCGAAGCCCCGATTCAGGGTGCGACCTAAAGGTGCCTGGCGCGAGTGCCACCCGTGCTTCGCTCAGACCACACACACGCATGCAAAAGATTAAAAGAAAGATGGAGAGAGAGAGAGAGAATAAACAAGAGAACGACGCGCACAGGGTACCCAGGAGCCTTTGCGCCCTTGTGCCGGTGGTAGCATGACTCCGTCACCGATCCCATTTCCATTCCCATTCCTCCCCCGCTGGCGCTGGCGCCAAGGGGGGGTGTGGGCTCCACGGAAGGAGAGGGCAGAAGAGGACGTCGGGGGAGAAGGCGGAGGATGAGGGAGGAGCAGGCGAATGGAGGAGGATGGAGGGGAAGGAGGGAAAAGATAAGAGGAAGGGGAGGAAGAGAAGGATCAGAATGAGGAAGAGGGCGGAGGAGGATCGAGGTCCGAGATTTGGGACGTTTTTTGGCTGTCATGGGCCTCCCGGAGGCTTCCCGTCGCCATGAATGGAACCCGTTCCAAAATTATGGACAAAAAGCACCCATGGATACGTCGTGGGGCGCGTGTGTGTGTGTGTGTGTGTGTGTGTGTATGTGTGTGCGTGTGCGTGTGCGTGTGCGTGTGCGTGTGCGTGTGCGTGTGCGTGTGCGTGTGCTTGTGCGTGTGCTTGTGCGTGTGCTTGTGCGTGTGTGCCTGTGTGCGTGCGTGCGTGTGTGCGTGCGCGTGTGCGTGCGTGCGTGCGTGCGTGCGTGCGTGCGTGCGTGCGTGCGTGCGTGCGTGCGTGCGTGCGTGCGTGCGTGCGTGCGTGTGTGTGCGTGTGTGCGTGCGTGTGTGTGTGTGTGTGTGTGTGTGTGTGTGTGTGTGTGTGTGTGTGTGTGTGTGTGTGTGCGAGCGCGTGTGTGTGTGTGTGTGTGTGTGTGCGTCTGTGTGTGTTTGTGCGCGTGCGTGCGCGCGTGCGTGTGTGCTTCTCCGGTCGCTGAAACATCCAGCGAGGATCGAACACATCACGCTGGAAGGTGTTCGTCATTTGAGCCCCGCGACTTTCAAACAGGATTGGTCCTGGTAGGGGTCTGGGTGCCGATCCTGGGCGGAGCGAGGCAATGACGAGGGGGCGACGACAGGAGGTGCGCAGAGGAGCGATAAAGGGAAAGTCTCCAACAGTCCTCCTGGATCCCCCCCCCCCTCCCTCCCTCCACCCTTGTCGAACTGAAGTCCCTCTTCCATCCTCCCTCCTCCGCTCTCCTCGGCCCCCTTCCCCCCTTGTCCCTCATGCAGCACTCCTCCTTTCTTTCGTCTAGGAATTTACGAGCGATGCGAGTTGTGCACATCGATGCCTGCTAACCGTCACTCATGCACCCACTACGAGTACAAAGAAGTCGTCCGCTGACCATTCCAGCGTCAGCGTCTCAGCCAAACAAGGCGAGCTCCTGAGTAACAAAGTTCATGCCTGCCAAATTTACCCTTCGCACTCTAAGTTACATCGAAATCCTGCTGCTTCCAGTCCAGAACTTGATCCAATACAACGTTCGCGGAATGATGTCTCAAGGAACTGGACTCGCGATCGTCCCCCTCCTCCTCATCCTCCTCCTCTTCCTCCCCCTGCATCCTTATCCTCTTTATCACCCTCTCATTATTCTGCCCGCCCTCCTCCTGCACCCCTCATCCTCATCATGTTTCTCCTCCCCTACACCTTCTTATTCCTCGTCCTCTCCACCGGGAGCGCTCCGCTCCCAGGAAAAGAAACAACAGACAGGAGGGAACGGGAAGAGAAAACGAAAGGAGGCGGCGGACTAAACGAAAAGGGGGGCGATGAGAAAGGCGGAGGGGGAACAGCAGGAGGAGAAGTAGGGATAAGGGCGGTGGACGAACCAGGACGGCCATAGTGAAATGCATCAAACATGCTGCAACACACTCTCTCATCCCCAACCCCCTATTCACCAGCCCCGTCAAGGGGTCCTCGCAACTATAGAACAGCGCCCTTCTGAAACACGAATGCTCCATGGACCTGTCACACAGGCGGTAACCACGCTTTCTCAAGCAACCTTCCTACATCCCTCGAGCTATACATTCACATCATGTGCCCCTAGGTTTGAAACATCGGGTGATGCTACATGGTTCACGGAGAGGAGAAAATGCACTATAACACAACCCTGAAAAAAAGAGCCGCCCACCAGCCGTGTAGCTAGTGCGCAAATTCAAACTTGCGTTTATCAGGCCTGACGACTCGCCACGGAAGAGCGCTACATAGAAAGACCACGTACCCCATCCACACTTGATGCTGTTGGAAACTTTGACGGCGAATGTGCGCACCAAGCGACATTCCTGTATTGTTGGACATGGTGAGCGCCATGCCGATTATCAAATAACCAACCTCGAAAAAGAAACGTTCAGCCCTCCCCGTCCTGCACCCACATCTGGTAACGCAAAGCGGGCCACTTGTGTATTGATGGGGAAGACGAACCAGGAAGGCGCAAATCGAGGAACAAAAACGACATAACCGTAAATGTTCGAAGGTTCACGCGGATTTCTTGGATCGGAGGACCCCCCCCCTGGCGCGCGGCGCGCGCCAAGGCCGGCGCCACAAGCGCCGCCAGGATGTCCAATAAATCCGTGATGAGCTTCGACAACACATAATTACGCAATCATTTCTGCGATGAACATGAAGTGCACCTTCTCGTGCTGTTGCTTAGTCGCGAAGCCCTTCGGAGCGCCCCCCCGCGCCGCTCGCAGACTCGCGCGCCGCAGCCGCGGCGCCGCTGCGCACTGCCTTCCCTAAACTAGGATAACAAGTACATAACCGTACGGGAAAAGGAGGGGCAGACGGAGAAACATCTGCTGCTGGTCCTCCTCTGTCCGCTGTGCCTGTTTGTTGCTCAGACACCAGATCAGCTGGACTCGCATCTGGCAGAGACACACGTGATACCTCAGATCCAGCAGCACATCATTCATTCGGATGTCGACGTGGCTCCATGCAGTGCAGCAGACAGAGGGCGACCAGCAGGCCCCTCTCCCGAAGAAGCGGAACAAAGGAGCAGGGCGAGGCACGGACACTCAGGAGCGGAAGCTGTTACTACAAATGGAGACTCGCATGAGGGAGCGAGAGGCATCAGACATGCATTTCAAAGGCCCGGCGGGCCACCCTGTTTTCTTAGCCATCAAGGAGGCGACCACCAAACAAGAGACGCTGGTCGAACAAGCAGGGGCAGGCCGCGAGCACGGCTCGCCACACTTTCACGCAGCAAGCGCACTTCTCTCGTGTGTTAGCGGCAACAACATGGACGGCTAGAACGACGAGATCAGATGCACCTTCTCGGCGCTCAAGAGGCCCGACGAGGCAAGAAATGCCGCATCCCCGCCAGAGTTCGAGGACTGGTGCGTCACTTTTCGCGCAGGAGAAATGCAGCAGAAACAAGGCGTGGCACCGACAGCGAGACTCGGGTTCAACGTCGTGGGGAGCTGGCCCGTGGCGGTCAACGAGAGCCAAGAATCGGAGATGGCGAAGCTGAAGTTCCACCCGCTAGAACTGAACACGAAAGGAGGATACGCGTGGGTGAGCATCAACCGCCTCGTCACTCTGCGCCTCCGTGTGATGGGCATCCAGAAGCGTCCAGGGAAGGCACCCGTGGGAGGGCTCGCGTACGCACTGAGGGTGAAGTGAGAGCAGCAGGCGAGCGTAGAAGAGATGGCAGAGGAGGAGTAGGCAGCCAGGCCGTGCAGTACATCCCTCCCTCTCCTCCCCCTCTTGCCTCTGAGATTCCCTCGCTCTCCTACCCCCGCTCCCTCAGCACCAGACCCTGGAAGGACAGGCTGGAGGCCCTCAGAACCATAGTCAGACTCAGAGAGTCAGCTCGAGAATCGAGCTGCTAAGTACCCCCGTGCCGTGGTGCCACTGCTGGCGTCGAGCGCGCCCCGAGCAGCGACATCAGGCCTTGCGTTCCCATTTTGGAGTCCCAGGCCCCCTGGTAAATACATAATTCCAGGCTCTGCGGTGCCCACAAGTAGATAGCTCCTGTTAACCGGTATGGACATCGATGAAGATAGCAGCAGCAGCAGCAGCTTCTCGTCCTCCTCCTCCTCCTCCTCCTCCTCTTCCTGCTCCCTCCCTCCCCTCCCTCCTCCATCCTCCCTCCGCCTCCTCTCCGTCCTCGAGGGCGCCTTCTGGCAGCACCACGCCTTCTTCGCCTCTGGCCACGCGTGGCTCCAGCCCGCCAGCCCCGCCTCGCAGTCGTACGTCTGCGGCTCACTGGGCGTCCCGCCGCCGCTGCCGCCAGCGCCGCCGCTGTCATCGTGGTCGTCATCGTCGTGCATCATCATGCGTCGTGCGCCGTGCGACGGCACCGTCGTCATCGTGCGTCTGACGTCGTGCGTCGTGCGTCGCCCGTCTTCCGCCCTCGTCGTCGTCATCGTCGTCGTCGTCATTCGTCATTCGTCTTCGTCCGTCGTCATCGTCGTCGTCCTCGTCATCCGTCGTCGTCATCGTCGTCGTCGTCATCCGTCGTCGTCGTCCGTCGTCCTTCGTCCGTCATTCGTCGTCCGTCGTCCGTCGCCCGTGGTCCTTCATCGTCGTCTTCGTCTTCGTCGTCGTCGTAGTCGTCGTCGACGTGGGCGGCGTCGTCGTCGTCTTCCGTTGTCATCCATTGTCTGTGTCGTCCTTTGTCGCCGTCGTCATTCGTCGTCGCTCGTCGCACCGTCATCGTCATCGTCTTCGTCGTCGTCATCCGTGGTCGTCGTCGTCGTCGTCCGTCGTCCGCCGTCCTCGTCCTTCGTCCGCCGTCGTCGTCCGTCGTCCGTCGTCCTTCATCCGTCGTCTTTCGTTCGTCGTCCGTCGTCCGTCGTCGTCGTCGTCGTCGTCGTCGTCGTCATCTGTCGCCTTCCGTCATCATCCATTGTCTGTGTCGTCCTTCGTCTTCCGTCGTCTTCCGTCGTCGTCGTGTTCGTCGTCTTCGTCCGTCGTCGTCCGTCGTCGTCGTCGTCGTCGTCGTCGTCGTCGTCGTCCTCGTCGTCGTCATCTGTCGTCTCCCGTCATCATCCATTGTCTGTCGTCCTTTGTCGCCGTCGTCTTGTGTCGTCGTTCGTCGCAACGGCGTCGGCGCCCTAGGACGTGTCAGGAGGCGTGCGTTGGCACGTGTTCGGGGGGCGTGTGTAAGGACGTGTCTGGAGTCGTGTTGGGGGACGTGTTTGGAAACGCTTCTTGGCGTTTGCCTGGCGGCGTTTCAGGGGACGTGTCTGGGTGCGTGCCTGTTCCGTGCATGTGGCTGTGTTGACGCCCATGCGGACGTGGCCAACAGCATGTAAGCGGACGTGCATGGTGGCATGTCATGGGGAGCTTCGGTAGCGCACTATGGGACCATGTCTGGGAGCGTGCCTGTCGACGTGTCTGGGGGTGTGTCCGCGGACATTCGCGGAATGCACATGGGACGGCCCTGGTGCGCATCTTCGTCTAAGCCTGGAGACACCATCCGCGAGCGTGCACACGTGGAATTGGATCCAACATGTCGAATTGAAACGCCCCCGAATGGGCCCTGAGGACCTCTTGTGGAAGGACTCTGTGGTGCCGTTGATCTTTGACCTCCGCAGGGAAAGCCCCAAAGCGATCGCTGCTCAAAGAAATCGTTAAACGTCCTCATTATTCTGCTCCTCCATCCTCCTGCTCATCCTTCTCCTCCTTTCTCCGTCTCCTCCTCCTCCTCCTCCTTCTCCTCCTCCCTCCTCCCTCCTCCCTTCACACTCCGCGCGCGTTCCCGCTTGAGGAGGGATGGGGCAGGATGAGGGAAGATAGGGGCGAGGGAGGGCAACGGAAGAAACACCCCCCACGCATCCTTTCTCCACTCCCCCACTCCCTCCACCTCTTCCTGATACTCCACTTGCCCTCCCTTCCCGACGCCGACGACGGTGGCGACACCCACACCGACCTCGTGCCGCTGCCATAACCGCAGGGCGGCCGCCGAACGCCGCCGAAGATGGCTGGCGACAACGGCGGCGGCGGCGGCGCCGAATGTCGCCTCGGCAACCAGAAGACGCCGAAGGCCACCCAAGGCTGCCGAGGGCCGCCGAGGGCCACCGAAGGCCGCCGAGCCAACAGAGAGCCCTCCGACGTCCCGCAGGGGGCCCGCTGCGTACCCTCCCCCCCTCCTGGAGGCGGTTGTCCTCGTGGTGGTGGGCGGTGCCTGGCGGCGCGCGCTCGCGTGCATACGGGGGCAAGAGGCCCGGGGATGAGGATTCGGGAAGGGGCCGCCGCGCACCCGGGCAGCGCATGGGATAGGCCCCGGCTGGCTCGCCCCTTCCCCCTGAGGTGTAGCTCCCGCCTGCCGCACGCATCGGCCGTCACTGGGAGAGCCGGAGCAGAGCGCTGGACGGACGCGCCGGGACCCACTTACTGCGCGTGCCAAGGCCGCGTATGGTCCAGGGAAGAGGGAGGGGGCAGGAGGGGGAGGTGTGTGTGTGTGTGCGTGACTGTCTTTACGTTCACTCCGACTCGTCGCCGCGCGCGATGCCGCTACCGTCAATGTGCGTAGATGTGTATGTATGGGTTCCCCCAAACGACAAACGACCCTCCATCTTTTCCGCATACCTCATCCTGGGCGCATGTAAGCTTCTTTCATCGCGCTACCCAGTGCAGGCCTGGCACCTTGGCGTCGGAGAGCGCCTGATCACTCCTCCTCCTCCTCCTCCTCCTCCTCCTACTCCTCCTACTCCTCCTCCTTTCCCTCCCTCTCTGCTCGAGACGTCAAGTCCATGGGCCCAAGCTGGCGCCCGTTTCAGACCTGACCCCAGACGCCGTGTCGCCCGTCGCGGGCCACGGTGCATCACGCGACATGGATGGCGCCTGCGCCGCACCGCCCTGCGAGGTGGGCGCGGCCTCGCCGTCCCCTTCGGCCCGCAGAAGAAGGAGAGCGGCGGTGGTGGCGATCCGCCACGCGCAGCGTGCAGCGTGCGCGCTGTCCGCCTCGCTTGGGCTGCAGCTGCCCATGGGGTGGGTGGAGGCCGACGCGGGCCAGGGATATGCACCTGGAGTGTGGCACATCCCTGCTGCCGACACGCTGCATCGTGACGCCGTTGCCTGGGCAGCCGCAGCATTCGCAAATGGTGTCGCGGCGGGCTGTCACATCGTCCCTCTTCTCCGTGGTGACGACGCGGAGCCCGAGGAGCAGACCAGAATGCTCGACACCTTCGGCGCAGTTGTGAGCACCGACGGCACCGTGCTGGCTGACGATGCGAAGGTGAGCTGGTCGACGGGGACCAAAAAAGCAGGAAGGGCAACCAGGGCAGGGCAACCAGAGCAGTACCCAGAACGCCTGCGAGACGGAGGTGAACTCGGGCGACGTGCTGCAGATCCTGGCGCGGTGGGAGGCCGCACAAACAACCCCCAGCAGCGCGGAGCCCGTGGGCCAGGGCAGGATACTCGACACCTTCGGCACGGAGCTGAGCGCCGACGGCAACCTGGAGGCCGACGGGGCGCAGGTGAGCATCGACGACAGTCAGCTGGTCGACGGCGGCCAGCAGAGCTTCAAGGTTACCAGGGCAGTGCCCACCCCGACTACTTGACGGAGGTGAGCAAGAGCGACGTGCTGCAGGACCTGGCGCGGTGGGGGGCCGCACAAACAACCCCCAACAACGCGGAGCCCGTGGGCCAGAGCAGGATGCTCGACACTGTCGGCACGGAGCTGAGCGCTGGCGGCAAGCTATAGGCCGACGGGGCGCGGGTGAGCATCGACAACAGCCCGCTGGTCGACGGGGGCCAGCACAGCTGTAAGGGCAACCAGGGCAGTACCCACTACTCCCACCTGACGGAGGTGAGCGAGGTCGACGTGATGCAGGACCTGGCGCGGTGGGGGGGCGCACAAACAAGCAAGCCCCAAAGACACCGACGTGGTCTTGGAAGGCAAGGCGACCAGTGTCGACGCATACGAGGCGACCGCAGGCGAGCCGTGCACAGGCAATGGTGGCGTGCGCGACATGAGATAGCGGACGAGTGGATATTCGAAATCGCCCTGGCGGCGGACTGGGCCAAGCAGGACAGCATTGGTCCGTGCGCCCAACCGTTACACCGTTCGCTGGCCATGACACGGCCCAGCGCGCACAAGCACCCCTTGCTCCAAGGCTGGGTCGGACACAGGACCAACCGCATGGGCGTGGGGCTGCAGACATGGGGGCACTCGGCGCCCATGTGGGGCGAAGGATTCTTCGTGAACGACATGTGCCCGTTTGGGCACAGGCATTTCGCCGACGACTCGCTGGTCGTCGATGATGTCCTTCAGAAAATGGGTGCAGCTCGAGCGGACCACAGCGACCTGGTGCTCGATCGTGAGGCGGCGTGCATGGCAGCAGACGAGGGAGTGCGCAGAGCGGGCCGAGGAGGAGGCCACGAAGTTCAGCGTGCAGGGCCGCTGATCGGGCGCGCAGTGGCGCCCTTCCGTTCTCTCTTGCCTGTGCGTGCTTCCCTCCTGTAGCTGGCACGTTCGGCGTCTATCGGAGATGCACGAAAATCCCTCTCTGCTCGTGGCGCATCGTGTCAAGCCAGAGGCAGAGAAACCATGTAAAAAACTTATGTTTCAGGTCAGCGGGCCAACAACCATTGTAAAGAACGAACGTATCAGGTTTCTCTTGATCTATGCGCGCTTAAGCGGATAAATTCACCAACACCTCAACAACCTGAAAACATGCTGCTTACAATGTGTGCGTCCCCTTTGGCCCGGCACACTCGTCTTTTATAGTAGCTTGTGGTGAACGCCCGCTTGTGCAGAATGCTGGGGGTCGCGTGCCGTGTTCTTCCTGTTGCTATTCCTCCTCATCCTTGTCTTCTTCCTCCTCGTCTTCCTCTTCTTCCTCATCATCATTCTCCCTTCCTCCTCCTCCTCCTCCTCCTCCTCCTCCATTCCTCCGCCACAATCCACACCGTCACCGAATGCAATCTTCTCAAGAAGCGTTCCCTTTATTCGAACACAAAGCTGTTTCCTGTGAGTTCCGCCGCATCAGGAATCCATCGGCAACGGACCACAGAAGGGTTCCTCTTGTACTCTGCCACAAAAAGATCACTTAGTATTCCGCAATAGAAGGGATCCCTCTATATTCCGCCACAAGAAGAATCCCTCAGCTTTCTGCCACAGAGATGGGATTCATGTGCGTTCCGCCACAAGTGGCGCCGTTGTGTATTTGGCCACAAGCGGATTCCCTTTGCACCCCGCCGCAAAACAAATCCCTTTGTATTCCGCCACAAAAGGTAACCTTTTGTATCCGGCCACAAAAAAGGATTCCCGTTGCATTCAGCCACGTAAGGAGGCCCTTGATGATCAACAGCTACCAAGTTCCCAATGTACTCTGCCACGCAAGGAATCCTTCCGCATTCCATCACAAAAGAATTCAGTTTGTAATCGACCACAAGATGAATCCCTGAGTATCCCGTCGCTGCAGTATTATTCAGTACTCTGCCACTGGTGTATCCTACCAACACAGAAATCCTCAAACAAATCACTACAAAAGAAATCCCTAAGCATTCCGCCACATAGGAAATCCTTGAGTATTCCGCCACAGAGGGAATCCTTTTGCATCCCGCCACAAGAGAAACCTTCACAGTCGGCCACACAGAAAAAAAAACCTTTGCAGTCTGCCACGTAACATAAATAATCTCTCGGTAATCATCAGCAAGATGACCCCTTCGTATTCCGCCACAGCAAAATATCAATAATCCCGTGGTAACCCACCACGATGGACATCCATTCCGCCACAGATGGAATGCTGTAGTTTCCCTCCATGAGGGGAAACCCTTTTGTAATCCGCCACACGGAAAACCCCTCGTGCATTCGGCCACACAAAGGATTGCCGTTGAACTCCGCCGCATAAGAAATCTCTGGGCGATCAGCAACAAACTGATTCTTTCGTATTCTGCCACAAAGCACCAAAATGATCCTTCAGTACCCCACCACGTAATGAATCATCCAGCATGCCGCCACAAAAGGAATCCTTTAGTATTCCGTCACAAGGGAAACACACCCTTTTTACGTTCCGCCACATCAGGGATCCCTGGGTAATCAACCACAGGAGGACGCTTCATATATCCTGCCACAGAAGAAATCCCGTTGCAATCCATCATAATAGAGATCCCTTCTGTAGCGTTATACGTATGTAGATACATGTATGTGCGTGTGTCGGTGTGTGCGACGGTCAACTCGAGCTTCCATTCCTGATTGGCGGTGTCGCCCGTACAGCTGCGTCGCCTTCCCCAAAGATTGTTGTTTCGCCAAACTGGTGCCACGACGCTTCTGCACCGGACTGCGTGGACCACTCCTCGCCTGCGCCTGTTGGCCCTAGCCCGCTGTGCCCGCCCCACATCTGTGATGGTTGCCATTACAACTCGATTTCTGGTTGCCTCCTGTGCGGCTCCTGTGCTGTCCTGCTCTTTTGCTTGTCCCGCGCCCTTGCATGAACTGCGGTTGGCGAGGTCCGAACTAGTTAACTCTTCCTACATTCGCGCGTGTGACACCGCCCACACGGCCACCTGCACGGTCTCTGACATTTTCCACGTGCATCCGCTTTTGCGGATGTTTCCTGCATGCGTCAGCCTTCGTCCTGACCCCCATCTGCAAGGCTAGGTGGTAATTTGACTAATCGCGCCCCGCCTTTTGTATACGTTGCAATGACTCCCACGCAGCCGCTGGGATATGAGCTTGGCGGAAGGCGTCCTCCTTCTGGGGGACGGGGGAAAGAACGGCATGGGAGGACACGGCGCTGCTTGTTGCCGCCGCGCGGTGCTCAAGCGGGCACGCAACAACGTGATGGCCCGTAGAAGGACACAAGCGTGGAACGCCCCTCCGCCGATCCTCACCCCAGATTGAGAGTTGGCCCTGGACGTCGACGATGGCCTGAGAGGACACACGTAAACATGGAACCCCGAGTACCCGCGCGAGTTCAACGCCAACTTTCTGGGGGGCCCGGAGGGGAGGTCGGCAACGGGGCAAACACAGGGTCGAACAGACCTCCCTCGAGCACAACCCCCGAAGGCGCTCAAAAGCCCTGCCGCGCCCACAACGGACACTTGCGGCGGCAGCAGGCGAGCAGCAGCCGCGAGGGCGGCGGTCCTGGAAGTTGCTGGGCATTAACGCGGCGCGCCGCCGCCGCTCGGCCCACCAGGGGGAGAGGAGGAACACAAAACAATATATGAGGAAGACTCGAATACGTGGACAATTAACACATGATGCATTCACGATGTTGCACTACGCTCCCCCGCCACAAGTCCCCTCCTCATCGGTCCCTGCAAGCTTTCTTGTTCGCTGCACGGAATACCCCCCCCAATCGAAACACGAGTGGTTGCTCATTTTCACGACCGCTTCGACGATTTCGGGCCCGACCGATTCAACGGTAGGCACCGCGGGCCACCGCTCGTGCAGTATATTGCCGCGGTAGCCCCCCCTCCTTCCTCGGCTGCCTCAAGTTCCCTCCCTCTCTTCTCGTCTTCCCTCCAGAAGAGTCGAGCCCCAGCGTGTGCCCCCGCGCTGAGCACGCGGCCGCGCGGCCGCCCCGCGAGCGGCGCGGAGAATGGGATCGCCTTGTGGTGTTGCGCGGAGGAGGAAGACGAGGGCGAGAAAATAGGTAACGCTGCGAACATCATCGATTGGAGAGCATGTAATGTCCAGAAGGGCATGGGGTCAAAGCGAAGAAGAGAAAGACGAGGAAGAGGAATAATGAGATGGGAGGAGGCTCGCGCGGACGGGAAGGACTGGGAAAGAGGATCGCGAGGACGGAGGAAGAAACAATACAGAGAAAAGGAAGGACGAGGAGGGGAGAGGATGGATGATACGGGAGGAGGGCGACCAGGCAGGGTGAGGACATGAGAAGAGGAAAAGGGGAAGAGGAGGAGGAGGTGGACGAGGAGGATGAGGAGGGAAAGGAGGAGGCTCCCGACAGCCGCGAATTCGCGGGCCATCTCGAAACTCCCTCTAGCTTGCGGGCCGCACCCCTGACGCAGCCTGAACAAAAAACGAACCTTTGCTGGCCGCGCCCCACCGTCTTGTCTTTGCGGTGCCACGGAAAGGAGGCGGGGGAAGGGGAGGACGAGGTGGAGGAGGAGCAGGGGGAGGAGCAATATAACGACGAGGAGGAGAGAATACTGGGAGGGGCACGTGCCCCGTGGCCGTCGCGCGCTGCTGAAAGCCGGCCCGGTTACACCGGCCCCGTCGGCGCGGCAAAGAAAATCTCTGCAATGGGCACTAACAGATAGGATGGGGATTCTGCGCCACGCCGACGGAGAATATATATATATATAGAGATGTATACATATATATATATATACACACACATCGATTCGGGGCGGGGCCAACGAAATCAAAATAACATACATTCGACTGACGAAGGAGAGCAGGCAAGGGTTCTACAGGAAACCCAATGGGAAGTATGCGGATCCTGCAAAATGGGCCAGAGAGAACATTGAACAAATCGATGGCTAGCCCTGGCGAGCAAAGCTGATACGCATTCAAGGAAAAAAATGCACGCACCAGTGTCTGGAGACGGGGCGCGGGAAAGGCGCGGCGCGCGCGGCGACCCTGGGCCAATTGCCCTGCGGTTGCGAAGCGCGCGCCCCCTTATGGTGTTGAGAAAATGCCACGCCTGCTATGCCCTGGACGACCGTCGTGCATAGCGGCCGCGGTGAGGGACCACCCCCTGCGCACCCCCTATGGTGTCGAGAAAACGCTACGCCTGCTATGCCCTGGACGACCGTCGTGCATAGCGGCCGCGGCGAGGGACCACCCCCTGCGCACCCCCTATGGTGTCGAGAAAATGCCACGCCTGCGATGCCCTGGACGACCGTCGTGCACAGCGGCCGCGGTGAGGGACCACCCCCTGCGCACCCCCTATGGCGTCGAGAAATTGCAACGCCTGCTGTGCCCTGGACGACCGTCGTGCACAGCGGACGCGGTGAGGGACCACCCCCTGCGCACCCCCTATGGTGTCGAGAAAATGCTACGCCTGCGATGCCCTGGACGACCGTCGTGCATAGCGGCCGCGGCGAAGGACCACCCCCTTGCGCACCCCCTATGGTGTCGAGAAAACGCTACGGTTGTCATGCCCTGGACGACCGTCGTGCATAGCAGCCGCGGTGAGGGACCACCCCCTGCGCACCCCCTATGGTGTCGAGAAAACGCCACGCCTGCGATGCCCTGGACGACAGTCGTGCATAGCGGCCGCGGCGAGGGACCACCCCCTGCGCACCCCCTATGGTGTCGAGAAAATGCCACGCCTGCGATGCCCTGGACGACCGTCGTGCACAACGGCCGGGGTGAGGGACCACCCCCTGCGCACCCCCTACGGTGTCGATAAAATGCCCCGCCTGCTGTGCCCTGGACGACCGTCGTGCACAGCGGCCGCGGTGAGGGCGCACCATGGCCGCGCGACCGTCGTGCATAATGCGCACGCGAGAAAACGCCACGCCTGCGATGCCCTGGACCGTCGTGCATATAGCGGCCGCGGTGGGACCACCCCCTGCGCACCCCCTATGGTGTCGAGAAAATGCCACGCCTGCGATGCCCTGGACGACCGTCGTGCACAGCGGCCGGGGTGAGGGACCACCCCCTGCGCACCCCCTACGGTGTCGATAAAATGCCCCGCCTGCTGTGCCCTGGACGACCGTCGTGCACAGCGGCCGCGGTGAGGGACCACCCCCTGCGCACCCCCTATGGTGTCGAGAAAATGCCACGCCTGCGATGCCCTGGGCGACCGTCGTGCATAGCGGCCGCGGTGAGGGACCACCCCTTGCGCACCCCCTACGGTGTCGAGAAATCGCAGCGCCTGCTATACGCCGTGCTGTGCTGAGCTGAGCTGTACCGTGCTGTGCCCTGCTGAGCTGAGCTGAGCTGTGCCGAGCTGTGCTGAGCAGTGCTGTGCTGTGCAGTGCTGCGCTGTGCGAGAAAGGGCGGAGGTGCGCTGTGCTGCGCTGCGATGGGCGAGGGGGGAGAGGGGGGAGGAAGGTGGGGTGCGAGGGCCACGGGTGCGACGAGGCAAAGAAGAAAACCAAAACCCCATGTGGGGAAAACCTTGCACCAAGTGGCCAGATTCGGCTTTGCAGTGTGGGCGCCAATCGGTTCACTCGTAGTCTGGGAGCCGCAGCGTGGAATGCTGAATTGTGGCGCCATGCGCTCTGCCCCCCCCCCGTTGCCAGCGCGCGCGCGCGCTCGCGCGCGCAACGCAAAACCATCGAATACTAGCTGGCGACATCCAATAATGTCTCTCGCGTTCCGATGGCCTCATCGTGGAATTCAGCATTGCGACGCAAACGCAAGTTCCCCAGTTCCCCTCTGCGCGCGCAGCGCAAGAACAAACGGCGCCGAATGGCCATCTTGAGTACGAAACGTGACTGTGGTAGCTAATTGCTTCACTCGTGTTCCCATGGCCCCAACGTAGCAGAACGCAGCGTGATTCAACGCGCGCCCCCCATTCCTCGCGCGCTTACGCGCGCGCAATGCAAGAGCCGACGCCGAGTGGCCATCCGATTTTCGGCAACACAAAAATGGCAACGGATTGTCTGACTCGCATTCTGTAGAGGCACCAACATGGAATGACGCATTGCGAGACAACGCGCTTCCCCAGTTGCCGGCGCGGACGCGCGCGTGCGCGCGCAAACCCTCGCGCGCCCCCGCGCACTTGCGCGCAACGCAGACGCCGACGACATATCATCATTGAAATTTCAAAAACTCACTTTGTGGAAACCGGGCGTTTGGCTTGTAGTTTGGTGACCTCAGCGTGGAATAATGCTATGCGGCACAAGTCGCCCCCCTCGCTGCCCGCGCGCGGGCGCGCGCGCGCGTGCGCGGCGCAAAAACCGACGCCGCATCGCCATCTGAGGTCGAACACTGAATGGTGGAAACAAGTTGTTTCACTTGCACGCTGGAGGCCGCGGCGCGGAAGAACGCGCGCTGGCGCAGCGCGCGTTCGTCGCTGCTTGGCTGCGCGCGCAATTCAAGAACCAATCTACAGAATTGCCATCTTAATTTTGAAACCTGACGGGTAGAAACAATCATGCCACTTGAGTTCTGGAGGCCTCAGCGTGGCAATGCGCTGCGGCGCAATTCATCCCCCTCGTCGCTCGCGCGCGCGCGACCGACCGCGCAACGCCAGAGCCTGTGCTGAATGGCCATCACAATTCAAAACATAAATGATTAGCACCACACGTTGCACTTGTATCCTGGAAGCCTCCACGCGGCACACTGAGTTGCGGCGCAATCTGCCCCCCCCCGTTGCTCGCGCGCGCGCGGGCCCGAGCGCGCGGGTACCCGGGCGCGCGCAATGCAGGGGCCTATGCAGAAGAGCCATTTGAATGGTATAAGCAATTCTGCCACTTGTACTCTCGAGGCTTCAACGTGAAATGATGAGTCGGGGCGCAACGACTTTGCCTCGTTGCTCGCGCGCGCGCGCGCCTGCGCGTGCGCCGAGAAAGACATTCAACGGAATGGCGATATTAATTCCGAGAGCCGGCTGGTGCAAACCTATTGTTTCACTCGAACTCTGGGGGCTCGACGCGAAATCATGCGTTGCGGCGCAGCGCGCTTTCCTCGCTGTTCGCGCGCGCGCGCTCGCGCGCGCGCACTGCTGGAGCGCGCGACGAATGGCCGCCTTGCTTTCGAAAACTGAATTGTGAAAATCAACTGCTGAACTCGCATTTTGGAGGCCTCAACGTTGAATAGGGCACTGCGACGCAAGGCGTTTCCTTGCTGCTCGCGCGCGCAATTACCCGCGCGCGGGCGCCCATAGGCCGGCCGCGGTAGCCCAGGCGCCAAGATCCTCCTGGGCCACGCTTGGCCCTAACGCCGCGGAGCGTAACATGACGCGCAACCGCGTTCCAGAGACGCACAGGGCCCGAGGACCCAACGAGAGGGGCCCCAGCTCCAGTGCGAGCCTGGGGGGTCGAACAGATTACTCATGGGGGCCTTGGGAAGCACTGGGGCATTGCAAGCTTATGCGACGCTTCGCGGCCCGCGGGGAACCAGCGGCGGGCTAGTGGAAGGACTGGGCGAGAAAGCCAAGTTAAGGTGGGCCCCGCAGAAAGCACTTGGAAACGCGTTGAACCACCTGGCGCTGTCCGAAGGGCACCAAAACGAGTTCTAGAGGCAGGCGAGGGATTCCATGAGAAGCCCGAGGGCACCATCAGGCCCCGATTGCTTACAACTGGGGCTGGCTACATCATGCCGGTGGGGACCCAATGTTGAATCTAAACGCGCGGCGCATTAATGGTTCGACGCCTTCGAACATGATGATCCTGGATTCCCAGGGCCCACTGAGACTACTGCGACCGTCTCCCCGCCGCCCCAAGATACGATGCACGGCGTCACTTCGGGGGGCGCTGGGGTAATACTCTGTAGGGTCGCTTTGCTTTCTCAATCGCCCTTCGAGCCCGCGCAGCCGAATCCAGATTGCGATTCTTCGTTTCCGAAACGCTTTGAATTCGCTGCACATGTCGGATTACTAATATGTTGTTTTTCCCTGTTTGGAAAAAGCTATGCAAATGAGAGCACTGTAACTGTCTGATTATGCGTGCGCTGCTCTTGCGAGGCCCCAGGATGATGCCCCGCCACAAGATGCGCGACTGCCCCAGACCCCCAGGTGCTCACATAGTGAACAGGCGCGGGCAAGGAGGAGGTGCGAAGGGGCCGATGGGGGACGGGCGTCGAGCGCGGGCTCTCGTCGGCGGTTCGTGGTCGGCGGTTGCTGGGCGTTCGTCGGTCACGGCGCAGGGTGGGCGGTGGAGGGCGGGCGTGGCGGGGGGGTCGGGGGCAGCAGGGCGGCCGCTCACGCGGCTCCCGCCGCCTGGGCCGCTGCCGCTGCGAACAGCCTGGCCGCGGGCGGCCCGTGAATCGCCTTCAAACTGTGGAGCACGGCGAGCGCTTTCTCCTTCTGGAGGAGAAGCGAGATTGGGCGTGCTCCTCCGCCACGAGGTCGGGGTTTTCCCCTGTGGCGTCCGCCGCGCGCTTCGCCAAGACCAGGAACGCGCGGCGTGTTTCCTTGCCCCGAACGCGACCGCGCGAAGTGACGAAGCGACGCCGCCGCCGGCGCTGCAAAGGCGCGCCGTGCCGAGGAACTTGTTTTTGTGCTGCTTGTACCGTTCGGCGGCGGCGCCAGGGTCGGCAGCCAAACCTGCAAGAAGGTCGCCCCGCAGCCCGACACTGACTGCGAATTCCGGGGCGCAAAGCAAAATGTGAACACATCCGCTGGACGCCGGCCGCTCGCGGCGAGTTCGCCGCCGTCCGCATCCGCCCCACGGGGGCCTTCCCGTCGCTCGCGGGTCTCCATCAAGCCCGGCCGCTCGAGCTCGGCGCCCATGAAACCGGCGGCCCGCGCGGTGAAGAACACATGGTTGCAGAGCGCGCGGTCGCCGAAGGTGTCCAGGACGCCGTCGCAAGCCGGGCAAAAAAAGGAGTAGGAGGAAGAGGGAGAGGAAAGATGAGCAGAAAGATGGAGGAGAAAAAATAATGGGGGCCGAGGAGGGGGAGGAGGAGGAGGAGGAGGAGGAGGAGGAGGAGGAGGAGGAGGAGGAGGAGGAGGAGGAGGAGCAGGAGGAGGCGAGGAGGAGGGAGGAAGTGGAAGAGGACGAATAGGAGGGCGGCATGGGATCCTCCGAACCGCACCTCCGCCCCGCCGCCCCTCGCGGCTGGCGCCTGCGTGGGGAACTTGCTCAGCCAGCCGTGGAGGTCTGTTGTTGTCGGAAGTTGCGACGCCTGTGCGCTCCTCGTCCTCGCATCTCTCCCTTTTGTCCTCGCATCTCCTCTTCTTCATCACCCCTCCTGCTTCGCCTACTCCCTGTTCTCTTTGCTTCCCCCTCTCCCCCCCCTTACCCATCCTCCTTCCTCACTTCTCCTCGGCTGTGCAATTCGAGAAGCATCGGGGTTCGAGGATCGGGCATGTTTGCTTGATTATGCGTGTATGCATTTTGGAGGGGGTCTCCAGGGGGAGGAGGAAATGGATCTGGGCAGCGCCTTGATGAGGACCACTTTGTCATTCGCAGGTGCTTGTGCCGGTGCGGGGGCGGTCTCGATCATCGAGTACCGCAGCCCACTTCCCCGTCGCCACTTGCCGTCGTATTGGCTGCTCCCTGAAGCTGCACATTGTTCGACCTTTGGGGGGACACCGCGCTGCCAAAAAGTCCCTTTCGTATATTTATCACAAGTTACTCTGGGATTGGGGCAAAGACGCCCGACCTTGTGTTTGGTGGAAAATTGCCGAGACACTCGTGCGCGGATGTCGGCTCTCCGTGGCAGAGGCGTGTGTGCTCGGCCCTGGCCAGCATGATGTGCTGCGGGGCGCGCATGCTGACGGGAGCTTCAAGACGGCGGCGGCTAAGCAGTACCCATGTCCCCTGTGCCAGGCCGCATCGGGCCACAAAGCTGTCTTCTTGCCGATCGATGCCCCTCGACCCATGCAAGGAGGGTTACAGATGCGGGGCATTCGCATCCGACAACACAGCAGCGGTCGGCGCCCCACCTGATGCGGGGGCACAGGCTGTTCTCTTCTTTTGCGGCCGCTACAGAGGCCGCTTTATACATGTGAAGTTGCATGCGTGTGTGGCCACCGCGGACATTGGCCTCGACTGACGTGCGCAGGACGGGGAAGGCAGTAGAAACAGCAGGCGGAGGAAGGGGGAGAAGGAACAGCAGGTGGTGGAGGGAGAGGGGATGAGAGGGAGAAACGGGGGGAGGAGGAGGAGGAGGAGGAGGAGGAGGAGGAGGAGGAGGAGGAGGAGGAGAAGGAGGAGGCGGAGGAGGAGGAGGAGGAGAAGGAGGAGGAAAAGGAGGAGGAGGAGGAAGAGGAAGAGGAAGAGGAGGAGCGCCTATACCTTCAGAGTTCGATGGTTCACTGATCTCGCCGCGCAGCGGGTTTCGGCCACCTGTAGGGCCGCGCTGCGTCGAGCGGTGGAGAGAGCAACGAGTATTCATCTGGCATCTTCGCCTGGGCAGCGCGAAACGCCTCAAATTGCTGAGGCACCGAGAGTGCGATCCCGTTATGCCTCTTCGCCATGTCTTCAGCAGACCATAAGGTAGATTAAAAAACTGAAAGCGGTGGCAAGGATTGCATTCTCTCGGGTTGGATCGAACGCTGGCTAGTGGACGGGGGATCCGAGGCCCAGGCGGAGGAGAGGATAAGAAGGAGAAATGGCACGAGGACGACAGACGAGGTGGACGAGTCGGGGGCAACGGAGGTAGTGGGAGATACGATCAGGATGGGAGCATCCAAAAATACACGTCCAGTGCTCTGCTGTGACATGCATTCGGTCCGTGGTCGTCCAGCCTCCCGAGATCGTCTTGAGATGAGGCCAGCGAGCGCTCGGGGGGGCCCGAAGCAAGATTTCCCGAGCCAGGTCCCATCTCTCTCGCAGACGTCCTGGGAGGGGGCATTCGAACTACGACCGTAGGCGACGCCCAATTAGGAGCTCCATCCGATCGGGGAAAGCCAATGCCACTAGGAGTCAGAAAGAAATTCTGTTGCATTTAGGCCGTCTCACCTCCAGGGCGGCAGATCTGAGCGCGTTTTGCCCAGTTCTCTGGGCCAGAGCCAACTGCGAAGAACTGAGCCGGAGCTGCGAACAAGGCGAGGCGGCGCAAAGCTGGGCGTAGAACTGGACGATGGACTGTTCCATCTTCCAGCAGGGGGCGCACCATTCTTCTTGCAGGAGTCCTACGAGGGGTATATGATCTACCTCCCCGCGCATGTAGTTGGCAGCATTTTCGGATCTGTGCAAGAGCGGGGCCCACGAGCTGGCGAGGGTGACAGAGGAGGATCGCCACGCGTTACCAATCGCCGACGCGGCCAGCGAGTGCGGTGACGGGGAGGGACACCTAGAAGACAGGGAGAGGAGCTCAGAGAGGGCGAAGGAGTTGGGCGGAAGGTGAAGACACTTGTGCACTCCCAATATCTCGCCTCGCAAGAGGCCTTGCGAGGGGGGGTAGAACTGGCTCAGACAAGAGAGACAAGTGACAATCGCGGAATTGCAAAGCCGGGCATGGATGTCCGACGAAGCACTCAGCAGGCCCAGTTCCTTGCATCGCTGTACGTATTTTGTATGTTTGATTTGGTCCGTCCCAGATGAGCTCCACTGTGGTCACTGGCCCGAGGGAAAGTGCCGAGGTATTTGGCGCTGTCCCGAATACAAAATGCGGACCAGGACGGAGCCAATTGGGCGAGACTCTGCTGAACGGACAGAATGAGCTCGCGTCCCATCTGTCCCCACAGTGGCACGACAACGCACTTACTGGGCTGTAGTTTGAGCGTCGCAACGTGCTGGATTGGCAAGAGTGGGGGCTCTGGGTCTCGCGCCGATCTCAGGGAACGGAGCGCGGCGCCGACGTCGTCAGCACAGGCGCCCGTCGTGCCGATCGAGGGGGGAGGGAGGGCTCGAGCAAGGAGGCGAAGGAACGGGTCGAGACCGAGCGCCCGCAGAATTCCGCTTAAAGGGCATCCCTGGGCTACCCCCGAGCGAATAGGAATCGAGAGCTGGGTCACTCCTCCAACGCGGATCCATCCGACCATCGAGGTGTGCACTGCTCGGACTGCTAGTTGGTAGCCTAGCGGGATGTTGGAACGCTCGAGAACGCGCCGGAGAAACTTGCGGCTCATGCTCGGGAAAGCCGAAGCAACATCAAAACGGATGAAAACAGGCTGGTCCTGGGACGCTGTCGGATCGAAGGATGCGATTCGGACCTCGATGTTCACGGAGAGGATATGGCGAGTGAAAGTCCAGCCCGCTATGTAGCCTTGCTGGGAGTGCTCAGTACAGGACTCAACTACACATTTCAGATGATAGTTGGTCGCAGACGCAATCGCCTTCACATCTGGATTATTCGGGCTCAGCGGCCGGGTGGCACCCGGCGCGCGAATGCACTCGAGCAGGTCCGACCTCCCCTCCTCCGCGCTGCCCTTGGGGAGGAAGGCGAACAGGCTGTCATTCAAGCCAGGAGCGGCGCGCCGAGCTCGACGAAACGCATGTCGTAGCTGCTCCATCGTCGGCATGGGCAGGTCCCGCTTCGGTTGCATCGTGGTGGTCTCGCCCAGGAAGGCGTCGATTTCCGCGCCACTGACCTGCGGGGCCTCGAGCCCAAGGAAGATCGGAGACCTATGGGTAGCCAGCGCATGCGCGAAGTCACCAGGCTGGCGAGCAACGTGACCAGCACTGCCAGTGCCATGGAGTTGAAGCCCATCAGGAACCAGTCGCTTACGAAACGGCGCCCGAAGTGCAGCTCGCTCGCACGCAGCATGTTCGCGGCGCTGGAGGGCAGCATCACTATCAGGAATACAGTTGCGCTGCACCCGTCGAGCAACTTGTTAAAACCTCTTGCTCATGCCAAAGATGGTTGAGCTGCTGATGCGCCGCGGCGAAGTTGTCGGGACATTGCAGAAATACGCGGGAGGTGAGCTTATGGAAGTTCAAGGCAACGGCTGCCGGGCGTGATGGGCGGCTCGCGCTAGCGGGAATGACGGGCGGCTCGCGCCGGGCCCGCCTTCCATCCTCTCATGCGGGCCGTACCTCGTGACATCTTCATTGCGCGCCCCCCCTTGAATTATATTCCCAGGCGCCTCGCGGGGAACATTATTTCCGATGTCGCCAGAAGCTCCAGAGATTCGCAGATGTTCACGCCCCAGTTCGGTATGCATGATGAATTTCTTCGCGGTCCATATGTCCTGCCTCCAAATGCAGCGCGTGACGCTGCGCATGGTCTGCCACTGCGCCTCGATGGAGAAGCTGCCGATCCCGTTTGGTACCTGAGAAAGCGCATCCCTCGCGAACCTCGCCGCCTCCTTCATCATGCGCTTTCTTTCGCCGACCTTCATCTCAGGCGTGAGCGTGGCCTTCTCAAGCGCATCCAGCAAGGTGTCGAGTAGTGATCTCGGCCGACGCCATTCCCGTCTGCGAGCTCAGGGTGGGAGCCAGCGCCAACGAGCCAACCCAGATTGCCTGGAACCCAGAGGCCCTCCAGTGGTTCAACATCGATCACGAGCGTTTCGAAGCTCAGTTTGCCAACATGTTCGCCGCCAGCGCGCAGGGCCAGCTGGACACCACAGGGTGGCATCTTTGACACAAGGTGGGCGCCATGGGACCCCAGCGCTCGGCAGAGCAACAGAGCCGGCATGAAGGTGGTCCCCTGGAACCCACACTCGCTCCTCTGCACTCGCCGCCGCAAACGACATCGCAAATTTCTATAACTTCTTCCGTTCTTCCGCCATGGGCTGTGATAGTTTTGCAGAAAGTGCGAGGCAACCACCAGCTCCTCATCCGGACGCTCAAATCCTCTTCTCTGCGTGCGTCGAGGGCTCTACCAACTCAGGGGGCGTGGCCATCCTGATTCCTGCTCCATCCGCTGAGACGCTGGATGCACCACCTGCTGATGAACGGCCTATTCTCCATCATGAAGTGCTCGTCCCTAGTCGCGCCCATATCGTTCAACTCGTTCAAATTCACAACCCTCGCACTGGCTACCCCGTCGAGCTGATGAACATTCACAACTCGGATTTCACGGAATCCGATATGCAAAACGTAGCGAACATGTGGCATGCCACCTCGCAATGGGCTCGTCACCATCACGAATTTCACACGTTCATTGCCGCTGGCGACTTCAACCCCAACGCCACCAGCACAGCTGAATATACGAGAGAGCGCGCCCACAGTGACGGAGCAAAGGGGGGGGTCCCCCCTTAGCTCCCCCCCCTTCCTTTGACCCCTCCCTGC